TTGCCACTAAGGCCAAACTATTTGAGGCCAAGAATAACTGTGCATCGTTGAGTAAAGAGTTCAGGAAGTTGAGGGATTCCCTGGAAGAGGCATCCAAGCGGGAGGAAGTGGTTGCCTAGTGTAAAAAAGAGATTCTCTCGGTCTTTGGGGAGCTGAAAAAGAAATCATTCAGGACAGCTGGAACGCCGCCCTTCGTGTCGCTGAGGTACCATAAGATTTGGCACTCTTTCAGGAGCATATGGTTGGGTCCACTTCTTTTGCAGCCAATGGAACTAATACTGGGCACCTTTTCAGGAAGGTCCTCTTGAGGCGAATCTAGTCAGACTCAGGGATAAGCCTTCTCTATTGCAACTTCCCCTCCCCTATAGAGGGAGAACTATCAAGACCTTCCTTCCACTTAATCATCTACTCAAGACAGTCAACCTGAAGATCTATCAGTGGACATCAGGGATTTGCTAGGTGAGGAACCAAATGACGGGGGAGAAAATGTCCAGGGTAGTGGCAGTGATGGCTAGATTTAGAATATTTTTTGCTCCAGGGGACGCAAAGACCCTCCATATGAATGAAAATTCCTTTTTTTTTTCATTACATTGTGTTTTACTTAAGTGTTTTCCTTTTTGGTCAATTTTGATGCTCAAGATTTGGTGAGGTTCACTCGAGAAGGGCATCTTTGCCTTGGTACCTTTGGGCACAGTGCTTCGCTGACGAAATCTTATCCCACTCAAGGTCATGCCCCCTATTCGGGGTGAGAGTGACACACACCCAAGGAAGGTGTTTTTGCCTTAGGACCTTTGGGTGCAGTGTTTCGTTGATAAAGTCATATCTCGTTCGGGGTTGTGCCCTCTATTCAGGTGCAAGTGGCACATACTCGTGGAAGGCTTTTTTGCCTTGGTTTATTTGGGCACGATGCTTCGCTAACGAAGTCTTACCCCACCCCAGGCCATGCTCCCTATGTGAGTAACACTCAGTCGAGGAAGACGTTCTTACCTTGGTAGATTTGGGTGCATCGCTTCACTAGAAGTTTTATCTCGCCCAAGTCGTGCCCCTTGTTTGGGTAGCCGATGCTCATCCAGGACATGGCCCCTAACGACTAAGCTTATGGCTTATGTACAAGAATTTGTTAACCAAAAAGGCCAATACATTCAATTTAGTGGTAAAATTTCTTCAAACTTAATACATTCCATGCCCTAGGGATGGGCTGTCCTTTTATCTTATACGATCCAAATCTCCCCATCGAGATGATCTTATAAGGACCCTCCCAAATTGAGCCGAGTTTACCATCGGCTAGGTCTTGAGTATTTCCTACAACCTTCCTTAGTACTGAGTCCCCAACCTAGGTGCTAAGTCCAATTCCCAGATGATCCTGCCTCGTTTTCACCCGCCTCGATAGGCTTAGTCCTAATGGTCGAGAGGTCGATCTCGAGTGAAATTACGGCCTCCATTCCAAAAGCTAATGCATACAGAGTCTCTTCTGTTGGCACCCTGGGTGTCGTCCTATAGGCCTATAAGATGTTGAGTAACTCATCAATCCATTTCCCTTTGGCCTTTTCCAACCTTTTTTTGATTTCGTTAAGAACCAGCTTGGTTGAGGCGTCAGCTTGTTTGTTCCACTAGGGATATTATGTTCACATGGGTCTTCATTAGGTTGGCATTTGTGACAAAAAGGAGAAGAGTATTTTAGGTACATATAAGAGAAATTGAGGAGATTTACTCTTTACTAGCTAACCTAGGTAAGTTGCATGTGAACATAGTAAAGGGGAGTTTGTTCAAATATTCAGAGGGAATATATTTACAAACTTGGCAAGAAATCACCTATTTTGCTTTGTTTATTTTACACTTGTAATTTTATTTGTGAACACCAACTATGGAGGGGAACTTGATGCGTTTGATATTGCTATATGAATAGGTTCTCAAGCATATCGGGCAAAAATAGTTCATAATGTGTTACATATTTGTACTTGCATTATGTATATATGAATATGTCATATGCTTAACTTGGTGCTTTACAAACCTGTGATTATGTTATATATTTCTAACATATGATGTTTTTCACAAGATTTTGATTTGAGTGGGGACGTGCAGGACTATGATCTTCAAGCTACATCTAAAGAAGTAGATCTTGTACTTAGAGATTTAGGACGTATACATGAGTATTGAGATTAGATTTACAATTCGTTTTGTTTAATGGTTTGTGGGTTGTAATCTTAATTTCTTGTGAATTTTGTCATAAGATTGTCAAATGGGGGAGATTATTAGATCACATATTGTAATTGACTAATTTTGTGGATTCAATTATAAATCTCAACCAATTTCATAGTCATGATGCTATAAAGATTAAAGATCCGAAAGTGTCATTAAAGGGAGGAGATCAAGTGTTAAAGCTATATCATTCACACTCTAAATGCACCTTAAAGTTTAGAATAAAGGTAATGACTTACATACCTAAGATGATCCATTGGTAGTTAACTTAGGAGTATTAGGGTTAAATAGAATCAAAACTAATGTGTATGGCTCCTAGGTGTTTCTAAACAAAAAGATTTTTTAGAATTATTTTATATTTTTTAAAACATAATTTGAGCCATTATCGAACACTTCTTGAGCAACACCATTTAGTACTTAATAAGACAAGTTTTTTGCTTAGCTTTTGGCTTTAAAAAATAGTAGGGTAGAGTGGTCCCTATGCTCGCTAGTCTTCGTTAGAACTGTCTCTTTATGACTTATGGAAGAAAAGGGAAAAAGAAAATGGAGGAGATCAGAGATTGCCCTTCAGAGACACTCGAGTGATCTGAAACTCTTAGGTCAGTTCGAAATGTGATTTCCAATCCCAAGACCACCGCCCTATGATCGCCCTCCCACCGATCGAGTGGTCGTTCGTGAATTTGAGTTTTCTTATTGACCAACACTACATTTATTCCAAACATATAAATAGGGAAAGCATATCCTACGTCTAGGCTAAGCCTTTTAAAGAGGGAAATCCATCTGTAAATCTAAAGAGGTTCCACCACAATCTAGATCCCTAAGAACCCAAGGCTACCCTCTAAAGACTTTACCCAACCTCACAATTTGGTATTGAAGATCTTGAATGGTTTGAACCAAACCCATTGGTGTGTGCATTTCAAGGATTATTGGTGTACTCATGATTGCTTGAGGCTAAAGGATCCTCGTAGAGGTGAATCCAAGTGAAGCTACACTTAACGTCAGAGACAGAGTTCCAGTGGAGAGGCGTATTAAAGGAAATGAATATCTAACTATGGTATTGATTAAGATATAAGACTCGAATACTTGTATGTTGAATTTGGGGTAATGGATTAGGCTTTGGTGAATAGGTAGAGGTCCCCCGCGATTTTTTTGATGAGGCTTTCTGAGTCAAAAAATCACTTGTGTCATTTATTGTTTTTACATATGTATTTATATGATTGATTGACATATGAATCATCCATAGTTGCGTAGTTGGGTGTGGGTTTTGGGATTTGGGTTCCCCGTGTGAGATTGAGTGTTTGTGGATTTAATTGCTAAAATTAACATCAATCTCGATGGGTTCATAAGGTCGTGGTGATTAAAAGCGGTTTTCATTATTAATTGCTAAATATTTATGAGATGAGGTAGATGTGGTAGAACTAGGCTTTAATTTGTAATCGATTAAGCTTAAAATTGAAAAACCTATTCACCCCCCTTTTGGTAGTGTCGTGCGCGCCACGTGTATAATCGTGAAGAAAGGTCCACTTTGTTTCTCTACCTCCCAGAACGACAAACTTCTACTCACTTGGTGAAATAGTCAGTCCCTACCAGCATGAATCTTTTGTTAGTCGGCACCTTTGGCAAGGGATTGACTATGTCTAATCCCCATTACAAGAAGAGGGTTGAGGTCCCTGACTAACTGTCAAATGATGGAGGCAAACTTTTGGTATTTTGCACATTTTTGTACATAGTGTCGGGCATCTTTTTGCATGAAGGGTCACCAATACCCCTAGGACATGACCCGACGCGCTAAGGATCTACTTTCAATGTGGTTGCTGCATATGACTTCATGAATTTCATAGAAAAGAGGTTGGATCTTTTCCTCAAGGACACACAAAGTATGGTCCTAGAACGACTTCCTGTAGATTTTTTGATCGGGTGAGATTCAATACCTCGGGGCCTTGTGCCTGACCTTTTGGGCATCCTTTTAAGACTCCAAGAGTCCTCCTATGCGTAAGTGCTTGACTAGAGTGATTTTCCTGAAACATCAAAGAAAGTCGCCATTGGTTCCGGGTTGTTAATGCTCAAGTACAGCAGGTACTCCACCTTGATCTTCCGAGTGATCTCAGAATCCAATGTCGAGGCTAGACACATGATAGCTCAATGCGATAGGTACTCCACCTATCGACCTTGCATTCCGACAAGGATAGAGAGAGGTCTGTTCGGAAGTGGCATCATTTAGGATGACGAATGCAATCGGCAACCCATACGAAGATCTGCACTTATGCCACTTATTGTTCGGATTAACAATGATTTAAGGCTGTTTTTTGCATCATGCTGTTAGAAATGTAGCCACCATCTAAAGTCATGTTAGTGAATGGAATAGCCAAATTTGATAGTTTCCATCCTTATCCAACAGGGGCAAGTGGCACCTTCTATGCAGCCTCCCCTTTGGTTGCAGAGGCTCATGCAGTAAGAAGAGCATGTTCTTCAGCACTGGAGCAAAAGAATCAGCAGGTGATTATGGAATCCGACTCTAGCAATCTGATTGAAACCTTAAACAAGGGATCAAAAGTTTCAATGTGAGAGATTGAGCCGATTAGGATGGACATTTGGAGATATGCTCAGCAAATTCCAAACATAATCTGTCAAGTTACCAGACAGTCTGGGAGTCGATTGGCCGATCTAATAGCAAAGCAGATGAATAGAGGAAACATCCCCCCAAACTGGGTTGCAGATCCATCCAATTTGCTTGGGGATTTGAGAAGGAAGCTAGGCAAGGAGGTGTCTTTGTTTAGTTGGCTTTACTTCACGTATTTACTGTTACTATTCTGAAATTTCAGAATGAAGACCCAAAAAACAAAAAGAATCCTTATCCAACATTTCAAGTCCACCAGTGTAAATTCAATGGGAAAACAAATCCAATCCACCCCTTGAAACTTTGTTCGGAATGTAAAGAAAATAGACGTATAACAGAGTTACCCAAAATAGCCAGATAAATGAACAGCAAGGCCGAATAAATATCATCAACAAAAAATATTTGAAGATCAACTTTAATTCAGAGTTGGCCCTCAGTAGAGCGAGGGGGCGTGGGGGGAGCAGAGAAGTAAAAAACGCAAGTTCCATCAACAGCATTGACAACGCCATTTCAGCTATATCCACTTCCGGAAAACAACATATTATGCCCATTATGCTCTTGCAGACAGCAACCAGTCTCAACCTACAAACACCAAAACAAATCATCATCCATATTTTTCAACAGAATGGTCATGGTGCTTTCTTCCTCTTCCCCACAAACTTGTCACATGCATGCATAGACGTGCACACGCATCAAACACCGAAAATAAGGAAAAAATATACGCATATTCCAAGATCAACCACAAATCCAGAAGCTGAGATATTCTAAGTTATGGAGTTGGAAGAAAACTATTTCTTTTTGTTTTGATAGAAAAGGTGGACATACGAAAAGCACAAAACAGACATAAGCACATAATACTTGCAACACTAATGCTATTAGAACATAATTTACGGACAAAATTTAGGAACTTAGTGTATTATGACACGTGGATTGATAGTGTTGAACTCAATAATACGTTAATGTTGGAACCCACTGACAATCTAATAACCACAATCATTAAGTCCCCAAATTATATCCTTAAATTATTTCCCGATAGCATTGCACTGCTTGCAAATAAGCTGTGAATTCTGGGTTGTCTCACCGTCAATAGATTTCAAACCCAACAAACTATTAATATCAAAAGATCCCCTCATTGTCAGAAAAGTCGATGCTGCCACCAGAAAAATCATTATACTCATCGTAATCAGACAAATTGTCAATGTCAGAAAACCCAGATGGATACTCATCACACGATTCACATTCACTAATTTCAGCATAAAATCCATAGTCCTCAGTAGAGTCATCAGGATGCCTCAGATCTTTAATCTGCTCAGAACATCTTCTTCCTAAACTCCCTGCAAGATTAACGTTGAAACATAATCGCAGATCAAGGGATTCCAGTTGAGGACAACCATCAAGAATGGCCTGCAGGCCATCATTTGTCATCTTATTTCCAAAGAGCTGAAGGTGGCGTAATTCAGGCATGTTTTCTGCAATAGCTAGTGCGTCCTTATCGCCAGATATGTGAAAGCGTGTGCACCCTGCCTTGTTCAATTTGAATGACTTCAGACGAGGGCAACTTTGTCCCACAGCTTCAATAGCTTCTTTGGTAATTGAGGTGTAGTAGAGATGAAGCTCCTCCAGTAACGGCAGTTTTTTAACTGCTTCAATCAAACCTTCACTTGATATATTATGGCAACATGCAAATCGAAGACGTTTCAGCTGACTCGAGCTGTGAACAGGGTGCGGAACAAAGAGACAGGGTAAATCAGTAATTGTGTAGAAGTAATAAAGAAATGTGTTTATCTGTGTGCATGCAAGCAGAGATGCCCACACGACCACATGAAGACAAAAAGGTGAAAAAATCTATATCTCTTCTAAAGAGGGCAATGGTTGCTAATTTGCATTAGTGAACTGAACTAAGCAAGTCTGATGAGGAATAAGCTACATTTAGCACAGAAACAAGGTCAGGCCCTGAATGATGAAAGCTAGAACACACTGAGCTCAAATCAAGGTGGGTTTCATGACAGCATTCCAAGTTCAAATAAACTAATTTAAGCATCAAAACACTCAAAAGCTCCTCCCAGCACCTATTAACTTTTTATCAGCGGGTACTTCAGAAATATCCTTTCTTGGACCCCTAATACTGACAAACTACCATGTACCAGCTCATGATAATTTGAACAGACAAGTTGGGGTATTACTAACACAAAATGGTAAAAGTAATCTCTAAAGAAGTAAACAAATACGAAAATACATTCATGGGCCCAAACGAAAAAACTAAATAATCTAAGCAGGCACACAATTCAAATTGGATAGGCTAACATTAAGTGTTGTGCAATCAAAGAGAGATAAGAAATTTCTCTATTGCAAATCAAGTAATAATCAAACAGAGACTGCTACCAATAAAAGATTACTAGAGAACTTAGAATCCACGCCTGTCCACATTAAAAAAAGTGCAAAAACAGTCACGCTTGACGACAATACCAGCAATAAAACTCCACAAAAATTAACAGTTGTCTATAGAATCAGAGTCCAGAAAAAGTTAACATCTAATAGCACCCCAAATACAATAAATGACATTATTCTTTTGGTATACCGAGGAAACATAAAGCATATGAAAGCAGAAGTTAAATCACCGTTGCTGTAGTTAAGCAAAGGGAAACAAGAAATTTAGCATAAAATCATTGTCATTGTAGCTTTGTTTCAAAACCATCAACAAAGTATTCCTTTGACGTGGACATAAGATATAAATCCATATCAGAACATAAACCATATGCTTCTAACTAAGAAAACATAAGATATAAAGTTTTCTCTCACTTTCTCTCTTTCTTTTTCAGCAACCTAACTAAGTAGAAGGAAAAACTAATAGATCAGAAAACTTGATGCCATTCATAACCACTCAATAATATCTTCTTCGGGTCATCAATGCCCCAAATATCGTATTGGTAAGTTATTTGCAACTCTTTGCCTTTGATCTGTTACTCAAAACCAAATAAGCAAATTATTTTCCTTCCCTACTTCAACCACGGTGGCACGACCAACCAAATGATCACAACAGGCAATGATGCTACAAAAAATAATACACTTTGATAAACCATTTGAAGCAAAACTATTCGCTTTGATCAGTCATCAGTGATATATAACTAGCTTCAAAAAAGTAAAAATATTCCTTTCAAGAGATCAGGTCAACAAAACACAAATCTCTTTTCCACTGTTTCCTCAACAACCAAAGAAGTCCAAAATCCGAAAAATAACAATCATGACTCATAGATGTGCAAAATTGTTTTAGTTTGGATGTATTTTATCTCTCATCCTATACAGACGTATTCTGGCGGTATCCATATCCTACTTTTTAAGATTTTATCGTCTTGTCGTGTCCGTATCCATATCCATGCTTCCTAGGATCTAATATGTAAACATAATGAGTATATATATATATATATATATATATATATATATATATATATATATATATATATATATATATATATATATATATATTAAAGTTATTTTGTTGATTTATATGATGATCTATTACTAACTTATGTTGCTTATATAATTGTAATTGTAATTTTGTGATATTAATGTTATTTTTGATTTATTACAACAATTTTGTTAGAATGATTTTCTTATTCCTATGGTTCTCCACCTAAGTCGCGTGTGGGATTTTGGCCGTGTCCGAGAGATAGGAGTGAAAGATAGGAGTGAGGCCATTTATGTTCCCCGTAAATCGTTAACAGCAAGAGTAGGAAAAAATAAGAACACTATAACAAAATTACTGCAGCAAAAAGTCACTGTAACATTACTGAAACAAAATTAAAAGACAAATTACGGTAACAACCTAAGGGTAACAGTAACACATATAAGTCAACAGAAACTTTTTGAAAAGCAAAATGGCATTAAGACTATTTAAATTTGGGAATAAACATAAAAAAGATTATGTAAAGAATCTTGAAGAAGTTGAATTTTCAGATATTGAAAATAAATTACAAAACTAGGATACACCCGAGTATCCAACTAAGAAAATATATAATATTGGAACGTTTGATTTTAAATCAAGTATAACAATTAAAACATTAGAAAGAACTATTACCTTTGATCAACATAGGGATACTCTACAACTCTTAACAGAAAGAGAAGTCTTAAAAGTACAAGAAAATTATAAATTTTACATATAGGATTAGTCCAAATGGCTTTAAAACCATTAACTCTTCAAGAATTAAATGTCTCTTTTATGCTAGCTTTAAGAGATGCTAGATGTTTAGACTTCGATCAATCCATAATGGGAGTTATGCAATCTAGTTTAAGCACTGGTGCAGTTTACTTAACTGTTTTCCAAATTTATTAGTATCTTTAACTGATAAGAATATATTAGATGTTTTAACATGCAATATAAAACTTATGGTTATAAATTTAAAGAAGGAACGGATATAATGATCTTTACCTATAAAGTCTATTATAGAGTAATGAATACTCTATCACCAGAAGCTAAGCTTCATAATCTTAAAGGTCAAACCACTCTAATTGAAACTAATATGATAAAAAATAAAATTGAAATTCCTAAAACCATTAAATGGTCAGAAATTCAATTTTCAAAAACATGGCAATTTGAAGCTATTGTTCCCAAGAAACCAAAAATAAATCAAGAAGTAACACAGATCGCCCAATCATCTCCGGGTGATGTATTAATAAGATTTGCCAAAGAAAATCTTCCAAGATTAAAAATCTCTAGTAAATCAAGCACTTTGTCAGTTTATAATACTCCTGATAGGAGGTCCAGTTCTTCCATCCCTGATAGAAAAGAGGAAAAGATCCCATAATTAAGGGAATCCACATTTCAAGTAACTAGATTCCACATGGAATCTATAGGCAAAATAATGAATCTTTCTTATAGGAAGATCAAGATTCAACTGTATCCAAAATCGAATTTTAACTATAAATTTTATGGATTTAAAACCAAACAAATTTATAGTAAGTAAAAAAGAAATAAATAAAGAATTTTATCTTCCTAAATATGAAGAATTTATGAATTGATATTTTAAAATTATGAACCAAGAAGCTATTAATAGATATAAAGAAATGTTTTACCTTTTTATAAACAAGGAAAAAAGAGTAATTCCTTTTGTTCAGTGGTTTCTAACTTTCTATGCTCCACCTACAATGGATCAATTAAATGTAATTGAAAATTTTCAACATAAGTGGGAAACTCTGGATGATAAAAACATCACTATTTTGTACCCTTCAACCACTGAAGCCGTAAAACTAAACTTAAATGGAGTGTGAGAAGTCGTTATGAACACCTACTATACTTTAAAAGATAATAATGATATAGGAAAAAGTATATCCATCAAACAGAGTAATTACATAAATGTTTGCTTACAAGTTGTAGGACAACATTTAAAAAAAATTAAAAATTTAATTAAAGATCAACAAAAAAAGGAGCTTTGATTTCTTTTAAACCCTTAAAGGACAAAACAATTGAAATTGAAAAGATAAAATATTAAACCTCCAGTTGACACTTCAAAATTCAATCTTCAAAATAAAGTTGAAGATGAGTTCATAACTGAACTCAATAATAAACTAAATAATTTATCATTAAATGTAATTTCTCAAACTGAGTGTAGAGCAATATAAAACTAAAATTCAGCAGTTTGAAGAATCTCTGCATCAGATACAGTCTAAAGTAAATAAGATTGGGTATTCTAAACCTAAAAAACAAACACACACATACATACTCTGAAACACTCCCCCCCCCCCCCCAAAAAAAAAAAAATAAGGGTTTATTATCAAAGATCAACACCTCAAGATATTTTATATGAGAAAATTTTGTTTATTGAACAAACTGGTTATAATGCCTCTTTCATTTATGAATGGAATATTGACGGAATGTCAGAATATGTAATTCATCAAGTTTTACATAAAATGTTAATGTATGCCTCTGTATGTAAAGCCAATTGAAACACAGACCATAACATTGCTAAATTTATTATAGCAAGATTTACTGGCCAACTACGAGGTCAGCAGGATTTACTGGCCAACTACGAGGTTGGTGAGATAATTACTTAAGTTCAACTCAAAGGCAAAATGCAGTAAAAATTATAATAGCTACCAATAGAAGTATAACTCAAGAGGACGCTATATATATCTTAATATAGACAATTTTAAAACATTTTGTAGGAACAAACTTACAGGGCAGAAATAAGAGTAAAGAATTTATAATAAATCTGAGATGCCCCACTTTAACCCATTTTAAATGGTATAAAGATGTAATTTTTGCTAAAGTTCTATTAAGAACGGATGCTAATAATGAGTCTTAGAAAGAAAAATTTATATCAGGATTACCCAATCTATTTGCTGAAAAAATAAGAATTCGTTTAAAACAAAGACATGGTGGTTTTACAATCCCCAATGAAAATTATACTTACGGAAATTAATCTCTAAAGGTATTTCGGAAGGATTAGCTCTTTATAATGATTAAATCTTAAAGCTCAACTTATGAGACATAAATTAACTGGTCGCAAAGAACTGGGAGAATTTTGTAATCAATTTGCTTATATTATTGATATTTCAAAAGATAAATCTCAAACAAAAAGAAAAACATATTCTAGACCTTATAAGAAAAAGAGAAAATTCCATAAAAGGAATTATGAAAAAGATAAAACTAACAAACCCACTAGAAGACTTAAAGGCAAAAAGTAAAAAATCTATTAAATGTGAAAAATGTGAAAAATTAGGACACATTGCTCCCAAGTGTCTAACTAAACAAAAAATAAATGAACTAATTATCGATGAAAATCTTAAAGATAAAATTTTAAAAATTGTACTAAATTCAAAAAGTAAGGAAGAAGAGTCTTCTGAAGAAGAATCATGTAATCTTGAAAATGAAATAAGTAATTCATCATCCGATGAAAACAAACAAGAACAGGATAAAGATTGTTAATCACACTACAAGGCACAAGCTAATTATTATAAAGTTATTTTAGATATGAATGAATTAAGTATAAATGTTTTAACTAAGTCACAAACATTAATTCTTGATCATATAGATCAAATTCAAGATCCTGTATCTGAGAGTCCGTTTGGTTAGCAAAAAAAAAATGATGGAAAGTAAAAGAGATAGAAAGTGTAGTGAAAGAAAAAAACATGAAAAAAAATATATTTTCATGTATATATGTGGTTAGCATAAAAAACTCCTAAGAAAATTTTAAAACAATTTCATTCCATTGTTTGAAAGAAAGGAAAGTTAGACGAAATTTTTTCTAATTGTCTAAATTATCCTTAATTATTTTAACTCGGTCTAAAGAAGAAAAAAATATTTTTTATTATTCAATTTTTTTAAAAATTGGCTTCTAATCTAATTTAGGGACAAGAATAGACTCAAATCCTGATTTCTAGACCAAATTATATGGTTAATGTAATTTGTACAAAATTGTTTTAAATTAATAAGTAATTGAATATTTTAAGAAAAATAAAGGTAAAATGAGATGTTAGGTTATTGAACGCAAATTTCTTATTTTTCTTGTGTTTTTTGCAAGAAAAAAAAATTAGTTAGATGTGAGAAAATCTAAAAATAGAAGAAAATTATTTTTTCTATCATTTTCTATTTCATACTAAACAAGCACATGTAAAATTTTAAAATTTTCTCTTTCTTGCATTTTCTAGCATGCTAAACAAACGGACCCTAAAAGAAAAGCTATTGAACTATATCTGAAAGTAACTCCAGAAGAAAAGAAGCCTTCTCTATCACAACCATACTCTTTAAAGGAAGTTTTAAACAGATCTGAGACTATTGTAATTGAAGAAAATGAAACTTCAATGCAAGACATTAAAGAGAAATTAATCAACATAAAGTTGAAATAAAAATGATAAAATAAAGACTTTAAGCATTGAAAAAAATGCCAATAATTGAAGAAGAAATTGAAGATTTAAAAGAGTTAAATTCTTCTAATAATTGCTTAAATGTATTAGAAAAAATAACTTATCAAAAATGGTATGTTCAAATTATAATTGTAATTAACCAAGAATTCACTGTTGAAACTATTGCATTAATCGACAGTGGAGCAGACATGAACTTTCAGTCATTGAGTACGACTGATGGTTCAAAATTAAACATAAGATTTAAACTTTCAAATGTTTATATTTGTAATCAAGGAATTTGTATTCCTACCACATTTATGCATATAGCAAATCTGAATCAATTACTAATTTTAGGGACACCATTCCTTTCTATGATTGCACCCATAGAAAGAATTGATTCTAAA